TTTTTTTTTTTTTTTTTTTTTTTTTTTTTTTTTTTGAGAGGTTTCATTGTTGCCTGGGAAACTGATACTGTGCTTTCCCAAGGATGGAGAGAAGTTGGGCTGGGGTCCTGTCAACATACTGAGGGCCGGAAGAGGGGACTTACGGGGGAAAGGTTTGAGTTATACCACACTTACTAGACATAAAAAAGAGTTTTCTGTTGGGGAAATACCAGGCAAAGGCAGAGACGGTAATGACGAGAGTCGCCACCATGGGAAGGTGTTTTGCTCTGAGTAGAAGGACATGATACGCATGATTTTCTTTTTTAAAGGCACGGTCTCCTGTGGCTCAGGCTGGCTTCAGAGTTGTCTCCAAGTCAACGATGACCTCAAACCCCTGCTCCTCCTGCCTCTCCTCCCCTGTGCTGAGACTGCAAGCCGGTGCCACCACACCTGGTTGAATGAGACACTGTGATTTGTTAGGAGGGTCCAATCAGAAGGGGACATAGACAAGAATGCGGTTTTCCATTGGGTGGAATGCAGTGGACTCCCAACAGCCGACTGTTTCTCTGTGTGTCACAGAACAGGTACCACTGGGACAGATAGCATGGCGTACTCGACTCCACCCTCAGAGAGCCTGTGCCGTCGGTCCAGGCTGAATAATAAAGATGGTTTAAAGCAAATGAGTCCATCCCAAACCTTAAAACAAAACCTACAAATGTTTTAAACTGGCTTCCAAAGACATATTGAATTCCCTGCTATTGCTACTGTGACAGGAATTTGGTTCATATAGGAATTCTTTTTAAAAAAAAAAATTAGTCCTCTTTGCTTTAAAAAAAACATTGACCTATGTATATATTATTTGTTTATGCAGCTTTGTGGCTGTTGTGTATTGGCACATGTGCCTGCGTGTGCACCAGCCTGTGAAGACCAGAGGCCGAGATGGGGGTGTCACTCTTCAGGCGTTTGTTGTGTGTGTGCCTGTGAGTTTCTGTGTACACACACACACACACATTTGAGGTCAGAGGTGGATGTCATTCTTGCTCTTTACCTTGTCTTTTGAGACGGGGCCTCTCCCTGAATTCAGGACTTGCCATTTGACTTGACTGCCTGGCCAGCACACTCTGGGGCCACGTCCTCGGTGCCGTGGTGACAGGCATGCACACCCACACCTTGTTCTTTCACTTGGGTGCTGGGGAGCTGAACTCGGGCCGTCGTATTTGTGCAGCAGGCACTTTACTGGGCAGCCCACATCCCCTTCTCCTGCCTGCTGCCTGCTTTGAATCGTGGTCTCTTTATTGGCCCGGAATTCCAGAATGGGCTGACACAAGCTCTAGAGGTCAGCTGATTCCAGCTCTCCAGCGTGGTGGTTCCAGGTGTTTGCCATCACACCCATGGTTCTGGGGATCCAATTCAGGCCGCCATACGTGTGGCAAGCACTTTACCCACCAAGTCCTCTCCCCAGCCTGACCCTCTTCCTCTCAAAGTGGACAAGCAAGTGTACAATGGTCAGGTACTTCAGAATGAAGACTTAGTGATAACAGTGCAGAAAATTCCTCTGGGCAGTATGCTGTGGCCATTACATTTAGATCTTTATTTGAGTTACCCGTTTGCTTTGCCGGGCAAAGGCACATCCTACTGCAGGCAGGCAGATCTCTGCCTTCCTGGCTGGTGGGAATTCTCTTGGCTTACTTGGCCTTAGCTCCTGGTTTGTTTTCTCTGGTCTGATTCTAAGCTCCTGCATTCCATTTTTCCAGGTGCTTACGTAGTTCAGTCAGTTCATAACAGTTTACTGCTGTTTCTCAGACGCCCACCTCTCTATCAAACTGCTGTTGGTTCTTTCATGGATGGTAATCGCTGAACGTTTTTCACATACCCTGAGTGGATTTTTGTGATAGTGTGGTAAAGTATGGGTGAGATCAGGCGTAGCCGCCAAGGGTCCTGGCCAAGAGACCCCATCAGTGGCGCTGTAAAGAACAACTTTGGGTACGCTTAGTTCCCACGAAACACCTCAGCCTGTGAGTGAACAATGGAAGTACAACAGCCTCTTCCACGGGATCTTCTTCCTTCCCACCCCCATCAGAGTTCAGGCTCCTTGTTGGTTCCTGTCCCCAAGGTTGCTCTACCCAGTAGAAAAGGGTGCTCCTAAATGACAGCAAACAGTGCTGTGTGCTACTGCAGAAGTGAATGCCACCTACTTTAAGAACGTCAAAGACTTGAGTACTTGCTGAGGGATAAAGTAGCCTTTGCTGAGGAGGCCATTGTTGGAATGGGTCTAGAACTAGAGACGAGGCCTACTCAGAGAGAAGCAAGGCTGTTTTAAGTCAGTGTTTGAAGAAGAAAGAGCAGGCAGGTCATCGGCGTAACTGAAACTCAAAGTCGAAGGGGGGAAATTGGGACGTGAGGCCATGAACTCCAGAGTCGAGTGACTGTGCTTTGTCCCACTTAAGGAAAAACATTCAGGTTCATGCATTTGGGCTGCAGCACAGCAATGTCTTTTCCTTTGGATATATCCTTGTTGTTGATTAAGATGCCAGACTCAGGGATAATAGGAAGGGGCCCTGCAGTAGTCCACACCAGAGGTGCCCAACTGTGACGGGGAGAACAGAAAATTAGTATGAAAGGGGAGGGTGCTGTGCTGTTAGCGCTAGAAGGGCAGGGAGTGTGAGGTGCTCTCTGCCCCTTCCTTCTGACCTTCCTGCTTATCCAGTGTAATAAGCCCACTTGTTGCTCCCACTGCTGGTGGATACATAGGATTATCAGGAGGTAAATAAATAAAAAATGCCTTTCCTCATCTGATCTTTCATATACTAGTTTTCTTCTATTCATTTTGGTCATCAGAAGAGAATACCAATATTTTAATAGATGTGTGATTTGCCCCATTTCAAATACAAAGCTCTGCACTACAGAATACTTACAGGGTTTTTTTGTTTTGTTTTGTTTTGTTTTGTTTTGTTTTATATGTGTGTGTGTGTGTGTGTGTGTATACACTTAAGTGCAGATATCCTTGAAGGCCAGAAGAGGGTGTTGGCAAGCTGGAGTTAAGGGGTTTTGAGCTGCCTGACAGCAGGGTGCTCTGAACTGAACTTGAGTCCTCTCCAAGAGCAGCGTGTACCTGCAGAGCAGTCTCCCCGCCTGCCCCAATTACTACATTTTAAAAGCAAGTCGATTTATAAGCATAGAACTAGTACGATTTCCAAGAAGTGCTTTTTAAAATTAGCAGAATACATGACAACATGTTAAAATGGAGAAAAGCACAGATGAGCTCTATTTTACATGTAGAATTGTGTATATGCATAGAAAAGTTTGAAATGAAACAACACAAAATGGTAACAGTGATTACCTTTTGGGGATCCAAGAGTGGCAGGGATCACCTGTCAGTTAATCTTTATTTGGGGGATAAACAGATGACTCAGCAGTTAAGAGTGCTTGCTGGCTATAGTGAGGCCCTGAGTTTGGATCCTAATACCCTTAACAGGGAGTTTTACAAATGTTTATAACTCTAGCTCCAAAGTATCAGACGCCCTCTTCTGGTCTCCATAGGTACCTGCACACACACATGTGTACATACACTTCCATAGATACACACATGTATGTATACTGAAATAGTTTTTTAAAACTTACTGTTTCACTGTTTTTATTATGAAAGGGGAAGGGAGAGAATATAAAGATGAAGCAAGGCACCCCAAAACAAAGCCTTTTCAAGCCAGAAAAGTCTTCTTTGGACATGCATTTATCAAAGGCCAACGAAATCAGGATATCTTTGTCTAACACTGGAGAAGGACTAGGTTTCACAAATGATTTGTTTCTTATTACAGCTGTTAAAGTTGTGAGCAGCATTGGAAAGCCAAGAGTCCAATACCCTATTTTAAACTAGAGAAGTCCATATTGCAACCCGGGCCAACAGTTTAGAATCCTGTGTGCCTGGTATTTCATTTCTAAAGCAGCAGAAATAAGACTTGCCTATAAAAAGGATGCCAGGGAGACATAAGATGTACGTAAGTAGCTGACCTCTTCTGAGCCTTATATAAATATGATATGATATGTCCTGGTAGGCTGTCCATGTATAGGCACATGCTAACAAACATTGTGAGCATCTTACATGTTGTTTATCAATTTTAAATGTGCGAATTATTACTTAGGACAATCTTACAAAATTCTTGGGTCAGTATTAAAAAAATCAATACAATCAGTACTTTGAGATTTTTATTTAAAAAAAAAAACTCCTTTCAGATTTAAATGGACTAGACAACCCTGGTTTTTATTTCCTAAACTCACAGTGGTGCCCCTTGGAAATCGCTCAGTCATGGCAGCTGTTGTCTAATTAGGTGAAAATGATCATCTAAGAAAGTCTATCAGTTGCTATAAAAGCAAGATGTTTATAATCCAAGCATCTTTCCAGATGCCGGTGAATTGCTGGCGAGCTGGAGCTTAGCTTTCCACCCTGACAAAGTTTTAAAAGAGGTCAGGGTGCGTTTTACCATAGCGTCTAGCAATGTGAGTTTATTCAGGCCTTGGCAGGCATTCCTGCACACTCAGGCCAATCAAGTATTGTGGGCCAGCTCTGCTCTCAGCGGCTAAGAGATTTTTCAAGCATACTAAAGTTTTATTCTATGTGGTCTAGAGAAAGGGCAAAGTGTATTAAACCTTAAAACGTCTCATCTTTCATAAATTAGTAATTATAACTTTGCCAGAGATTTAATTGGGAGCAATGGAAAGTCTACCGACACGGCTGGTGGATTTTTGCTTGGGGGGAAGAAAATGGCCC